AGTCGCCTCCGTGCGCGCGGTCGCGCGGATCAAGATCGAAGGCCTCGGCCTCATCGGCGCCCCGTCGTCGATCCCGCGGCCCGACTACGGCCGGGACGCGGCCGCGAAGCGGGCCCGCGACGCGGCCTACGCCCGCGCGGCCCGCGGCACCGGCGGGACCTTCGGCGTCGCCTACGAGCAGTAGCCGCCCTACGTCGTCGTGCCCTCTTCGTCGCCGTGCTCGCGTACGCCTCCGCCCTAGTCGTGTCCTCCCGTGACGCTTCCCTACGCCCCCCTTCGCTGTTCTCTCCCCCTTCGGTCCTTCCCTGCGCCGCGGCTAAGCAAAATCGCTCAAAACCTGACCGGGCCAAGGCCACCCCTAGAGCATCGCGCTCACGTCGTTCTCCATGCACCCCTCGGCGGCGTCGTCGTCCTTGCGCCAGGCGGGCCTCGCGTTCAAGAACGCCAGGCACCAGACCGCGAAGGTCGGCGCGGAGAGGAACGCCGCGACGACGACGCCAAGGCCACGCACGAGCGCGCAAGCGCAGCATCTCAGGCTCGGGCGACGACGCGGCGTGAAGACTTAGGCTATACTCGCGCGTCGAGGAGCGCGAGGCTCTCTATAGCATCCTCGTCGCCCTTGGCAGCGGCGCGCTCGAACCAGTACCTGGCTTTGCCGAGGTCGACTTCCGTGCCTCTTCCGTCCCTGTAACAGCAGCCAAGGTTATTCTCTCCAGTGGTTAAACCTTGATCCGCCGCGAGCGCGTAGTACCGGAACGCTTCTTCAAGTTTCTGCTCAGAAGCAAATAAAACCCCTAAATTGTTTTGCGCGAAAGCGTGGCCCCGGTCCGCGGCCGCGCGACACAGCCGCGCCGCCTTCTTCTTGTCCAGCTTGACGCCACTACCTTGCATGTACAATCCTCCAAGAAATGTCATCGCGTCCACATTCCCGAGCTGCACGGCGCGCTTCCAAATTTTCGCGGCTTTCTTATCGGATTTCACGAGGCCCAACCAACCGCGGCGGTACGCATCTCCCAAACACGAAATTGCTTCCGGCACCTCGTTCTCCACATGGCGGCGCAGACGCGCGAGCTGCTCCGTATCGGTTACTTGCGGTAAACGACAGAGGGGACACGAGTTTCCGATCTTGGCCTGGCACGAATGGCAGACCTTTCGGCAGCAACAGACGCGAAGCACGCCCGGAGCATTCACGTCCCACTCCTCGAGACAGATCGGGCACCGCGACCCGTACCGCGCCGACTGTGGCACTGGCTCCGGGTTCGCCTCGCGCCGCGCGCGCGCGGCCTCGTGCTCCGCGGCGATGCGCGCGCGGATCTCGTCGGCGTGCGACCGCGGCGCGGGGCCGTAGAACACGTCCCGCGGCGGCGACGGCGGGGGCGTCGGCGCCTCGGCCCGCGCGGCTATCTCTTTACATACCTTCCGGTGGCCCCGGTCGCGCCAGTCGATGCGTTGGCAGGCCGTCGAACAGTAGGCCGTCGTGCCGCACCCTTTACACGCCTTGGCCTTGTCGGCGCCGCAGATCGTGCAGGTCTTGAGAGTGTCGAGCTTTTTGCCCCTCGCTCGGGCCATGCGATTCTCATACTCCAACTTCTTCTCCTGCCACGACATGACTCGGGGCGCGTCGAGAGCTCGTATGTCGTCCTGTGCCGGAGCCTCAACAGGCAAAATCGCTCAAAGTCTTACCCCAGGGCTAAGCCCACCCTAGTATTGCGTTCATGTCGTTCTCCATGCCCCCCTCGGCGGCGGCGTCGTCCTTGCGCCAGGCGGGCTTCGCGCTCGAGG